CCCCCCCCCCCCCGGAGGCAAAACCTTTTCCCAAAATCATATGATTTTGACACATTCCCAAGCCCCAAGCTCCCGCGTAAACGTCAAACCTTCCATTCAGCGTGGAAATATTTGTTTTCGCAGAGTCTCGTGCCATCTGTGAGTGCCTAAGAGAGCCCTACGTCTCGTTCGACTGTCGCTTCGCCTAAAGTCCACCACCCCCCGACAATGAAAAGTCCGTCCATCGGCTCAGCCCCTCATTAATCCCTTTGGGAGCCCAAAAAATCCGAAAGATCGTCTCAAATCCTCGCGAAATCACCCCCGAGCCGTCGCCCAACGCTTCAAAAACCCCCCGAAACTCGCAAAAGCCCCCGAAAAATTTCCTGTAAAAACCTCAAAGTCCTTCTGTAATGGCGGCCAAACCCCTTCCAACCGCTACCAAACGCATCAATCCCAATGGGCGTAAACCCTCGCCTACCGCCATCTTGTTTTTTCCAAAATATTTACTAAATTAATACCATATTTCCGTATAAATACCTTCAATATCGATAATTTGAGTATCACGATTGACTTTGACCTCTGGAAAATCGATATCAAAATGCACCGAGACACCATAAACTTCACTCTCGATTTTTCTACGTTTCACTTGAGAGGAATATTGTGGCAGCTCCGAGCCCGACGCCATTTTCAACAGCAATGCCTGAGGAAAACGTAAAAGTTTAGCGATGATGATTGGCCATTTCAACGAGAGAGGGCACCACTTTATCCCCAAACAATGATCAACATTTTCGATGTTCATGAGACAAAATCATCGGAAAAATCATTATTCTCAAAGAAAAACATTTATTTCCAAAACATTGAGTCATAATAATAACAACTACAACATTATTAATGTTGATGATTAGCATAACATATTAATTATAATTATAATGATAATAATAATGACGGTGATAATTTTCTGACATTTATTTTAATTGAAAATGTCCGACTATTTTAATAATATTTAGGAAATGTAGCAGATCATGATCGATCAATATGGAAAAATGGGTCATAATTTTTTTTAAGGACATTTGTATTTTTATTTTTTACTTTAATTTTAAGGAAATGTGAGTATGTTCTGCCCCACCCCGCACAATAATTTCACCTTCGCCATTCCCTCTATTTATCCCTTAACATCACCCCCACTATTGTTTATTGTTCAGCCAATCACCACCCACGCGAGGTGCAGTGAAATCGAGTGGAGGCTTGGCAACTGCGCAATGATTTTATGAGTTTTTGGTCCGTCGGATTTATGATTTTTCCATGTATTTTTAGATTTTTTTTCGATGTTAAGAGCCTAGTTCAATTTGTTTAACAAGAAATATGACCTTTCGCCCGAAAAAAAAATTATGAATTTTTTTTTTTTCAGCCTTAATTCATTGTTTGGGAGTTTTTTGCTTGCTATGTTGTGCGGCGGGGGTAGGGGGGGGGGCTGAAAATCAATTTTTAAGGCTCAAAAAACCTCAAAATATTTTTTTCGAGGAGTTTTCTATTGCTCTATTCACAGATTTATTATTTAATTATTTAGACATTTCAATTGTTGAGATTTTCTCAGAATGAATTTACGGGACTTCGAGGTTTTTTGGTGATAGAGTTATGACGTGGTCAATGCTGCCAGTATGACCCAATGAAAATCAGATGATCGCTGGAAGTGAAATGCAATTGGCAAAAGTGATTTTTAATTCAATTTTCCCCCGCCTGGCGCTGGTTTTCTTCCGGTGGAGTCTTTTCCCAAGTAGCACGATTATCGGGCAAGATGGTACGTATTTGTAATCCGTCAAATAAATTGAAATCGTCGATTATAAACAATTGTGTGATATTTATTTGAGGACTGGAATAATCGCAGAATGTTGCTCTGTGAGAAGTGGTGAAGTTTGTGAAGGGACAATTGGATTTAAAAATTGTTATAAGATGAAGATTTCTCGAGGGACGAGCGTGGGGTTTCGCCGCTGTTGATGACAGTGATGATTATTGTTTTGTTATTAATTATGAATTTTTGGGGGCGTTAGGGGGGAGGGTTCGGTGGGTACCGAGTGATAAGGGAGATGTGTAGTGGGAGGGTTGTTTTTGGGGGACCAAGTGTTTGTGTATGATAACCTCAAAATTGATGTTTTTTTCAGACCGAAGGCACAGCTACCATCAGAACTAGGAAGTTCATGACCAATCGGCTGCTATGCCGTAAACAAATGGTGAGTTTCTGTAATTATTGAGCTGATTATTGATTATTATCTTGCCAGTGGTCTTTGAGCTATTGTTTTCGTGCGTTCTGAAGGGAGGTGAAGCACTTGATAATTGTGGATTAATCTAGAGAAGGAGGGGTTCTAGAAGAAAATGTCAATAAGCATTTTTGTAGGAAATTTTGTGAACTACAAAAAACGTTCAATGGAGTTTTCTCGTAAAATTACTCGTTAGTGAGATAATTGTATAATTATGGAGAATTGATCTGTGAGGTGGGAAAATAATAAGTCATTGGTAGTTGTCTATTTATCTCAATATAGAGTGGTTTTGGAAGAAAATTTTGGAAGAAATTTTATCAACTACAAAAAAGGTTTGAAGATACTTTCTCTCAAAATTAATGATTACTGAGATAATTACTAAATTATGTAGAGACTTTTGTATGCTTTAAAAATAGGAAGTCATTAAAAAGAGGATTTATCTTCATAAGGAGCGATCTTAGGGGAAAATGTCAATAGACACTTTTGTAGGAAATTTTACCAGCTACCAAAACAGGTTAATGACATTTTCTCGTAAACCTAGTCATTGCTGAGATTATTGGAAGTTTAGGCAAACAGTTTTCATAATCTTCAAAAACAGAGACTCATTTGAAAGCGAGATTTATCTTGGTAAGGAGTGATTTGACGAGAAAATGTCAATCGACATTTTTGTAGAAAATTTTGTCAGCTACAAAAAAGGTTCAATGACATTTCCTCGTAAAACTAGTCATTATTGAGATAATTTCAAAATTGTCAAGACATGTCCGAAGTATTCCATCGTATTAATCATAAAAGGTGACTTTAATACGAAATGATTTCGTTGTTATGCTTTAATTCTTTGAGTTTCTCGTTGATTTCAGGTCGTGGATGTACTCCACCCAGGCCAGCCCTCAGTTCGCAAGACCGAGATTCGTGAGAAGCTCGCCAAAATGTACAAAGTCACCCCAGATGTTGTTTTCGTGTTTGGATTCCGCACGAACTTCGGTGGTGGCAAATCAACTGGTTTTGCATTGATCTACGAGACTTTAGATTTCGCTAAGAAATTCGAGCCCAAGCACAGATTACAGAGACACGGACTCTTTGAGAAGCAAAAGGTCACCAGGAAACAACGTAAGGAACGTAAGAACAGAATGAAGAAGGTGCGAGGTACCAAGAAGAGCAAGGTCGGAGCTGCGGCTAAGAAGGTAAATTTCATCATTTGGATTTATTTTTGTCCCCTTCTTACATCATTAGAATCAAATGAATGGGAAAATAAAATGTGCCTCCGTCTCTCACATCTGAACAATTCTTCATTGTCAATATTTTTTTGTTTTATTTTCTCATTCAAATCATTCTTTATCGATAAATAAATGCTCTCGTGAAGTGATGAAGATTTCACAAAATTTTGTAACAGTTCTGTGCGAATATCTCCTGAGCGAGTAGGTTTAGAGAAAAATGTCAATCAAACTTTTTCTAGCTTATGAAATTCTCTATAAAAATGCTCCTTTTGCATTTTTTTCTAAACCATGTAATTTCGGAGGTATTTCTATTCGAATAACAATGATGGCAGAAAAGTCTCTCAGATTTCGTTTTGATAATGCCTAAAACGTTATCTATTTTTCGAAATATCTCAGAAGCTATGGAGTTAATTAGAGCGTCCTGCAAACTTTTTGTAGTTCATGAGATTCTTCGCAGAAATGTCTTCTAACATTTTTCTCTAAAATCCATAATTTTCAAGATATTTCTGTTCTAAAAGGGACGATTCCAAAATAATCTCTGAATTCGGTTCCATATTGTTCAAAACATCGTAAATCTTCTTGAAATCTATTAGAAACTTTGATCTTGATCGGAAAATGTTCAGCAAACTTTTTTAGTCCATTGAATTTTCTATAAAAATGTCCTTTGTTATTTCTCTGCAAATCAGTTCGTCGATCTTTGCGTTCAAGAAAGGGCAATGGAAATGTAGTCTTTGAATTCGTTACAATAAAATGTAAAAATGTCAACCCTTTTTTGCAAACATCTCAGAAGCTACTGGATTCACGAAAAAATGCCCCGAAAACTTTTTGTAGCTCATAAGATCCTTTACAAAACAGTCTTCTGACTTTTTTCTTTAAACCTCATCATTTTCGAGGTATTTGTATTCAAAAAGGGACAATTCTAAAATAATCTCTATATTCGTTTCCATAATGCTCAAAACGTAATTTTTTTCGAAATTCCTTAGAAGCTATGGATTTAATCGTAAAATATTCTGCAATTTTTTTAGTCCATTAAATTTTTAGTAAAAATTACCTTTGTCATGTCTCTGCAGTTCGTCGATCTTTGCATTCAACAAAGGGCAATGGAAAAGCAGTTTTTGAATTCGTTAGAAAAATTCGTTAAAATCTAAAAATTTCATTGCTTTTTTTTGCAAAATTTTAGAAGCTATTAGGTTCACAAAAAATGTCCAGCGAATTTGAACTTCTGAAAATATCCCCAGACATTTTTTATTTTTTGAATCCATCTCCATCACTTCACAACAGAATTATCTCCCAAAAATATCTGTAGCTTTGAATCTCTATTTCGCATGAAAACAAAATTACCAATTGGCTTTTACTGTTTAAAAATTGCTGTATCGCTTTGTAAATATTTCAAAATCTCTGTGCAATATTTAAAAATGAAAAAAAGAATTCACTAGATAATTTGTTATTGCGAAGAGATCTATTGGATTTAGATGAAGGAACAAAATTTAATTCGGCATGGATCAAAAAGCTTTACACATCTAGAAAATTGAAAAAGGGATGATTAAGTGGTGCATGTTACCTGGTAGTTCATGCTTTTTATTTACGTTCTAGGGGAAGAAGTAAAAGAATAATGCAAATAAGTATCATCGAGCTTCAATGGAGGATGGTCTCATTATATGATTTGTTATTCGTCAGCATGTCAACGTCTTATGTAAACTGGGATTATCATTTTCTATTTCCTTGAATAATTTTATTCAATTGTTGTCTCTCGTTCCATTTGATTAAACTAATTTGGTGGTTCAAGGTTCATTTTTCGTTGGAATAAAACTCTTTTGTCGTCGTTGTGGCATGAATAGTCCAAAAATCATATTCATTTCACTTATTTTGGACGAAAATCATCATTTATTGTCAATATAAAATTTAAACATTATAATTCGCTTTGCATGGGGCGATAATTGGTGCTGGGACACACTATTCGGCTTAAAACTTCTCTCCAATCATCTTTAATTGTTGTTTAATCAAAATTTTTAATCAAAATTACTGACATCAAAATGTTTAATTCTCTTGCAGTAAAAAAATTCAAGGAAGAGGTGGAGCGAAAAATTTGTACATCATCGGCGTAAAAATTATTGTAATGTATTGTTTTATCATCGAACGGTATTTATAATAAATTTTTCGCAATACAAATGTGCTCTAGTATTTTTCAAAAAATTAAGGTTAACATCCGGATTATGTAGGTAAGTAATATGGATTATTCTCCTGAAATTTAATGACGAAGTGATAAAATGCTAGGAGTAATTTTGGTAGAGAATTTCATTATCTACACAAAGGTCTTTCACATATTTCAGTAAGTCCATTGGCTCCAGAAATATCCGCGAAATCAGATCGATTAAACTTTTCTCTTTGGAATAAAGCGGCTTAAATCGATTCTACATGAATAGTTCATTTCAAATTAGGGAAAAATGGCAATGACGGCAATAAATAACTGATCGAGTTTTTCTATTTTTATTTTTATAATTTGGAGTTATATTTTTTTTTTAATTCCAATCTGACGGCCACACGGAGAGAAAAATATCGGAGTTTCTACGGAATATATGTTATAGGATGCATGTTTTTTCGGATCAAAAGAGAATTTTATTGTTTCAACATTCTGATTCTTTATTTCAAGAGTGAATTCCTTAGAAAGCGTGAATAACGGAATATTCCTTCGAAAATGAGGCGTTATTTCATTCAAAATAGGGGAGTGGGGCAAAATGCAATAGTTAAAAAAATGACTGACGCAATTTAAGCAAAAAAAAATTGTTTTTAAGATTTTTTTTATTAACTTTTTTTTATTCTTGGGAATACTGATGAGGATAATAATTTGCCATTCAGTAGAATGGAAAATCATTGAGAATTGTTGATGGGCGAAGATTTGGTCAATGGATTAATTGGAAAGAAAATGAAACAGCGAAATCCAAAGTCCAGAGCAAGACCCAGGGGGCGACCCAGAGGGAGAAAAAGGAAAATGTGATGCGGTGTTTCAATCGAATTATATTCGAGCCTCGTCTTCGAGATTTTAATAACTTGTAGTAGTCCGCCTGCGGCTAGATGGAGCCACACGCCTTCAGAGACCATAGAAAAAGTTAGCTGTCACCTCGGCGTTGAGGGCTCGCCATCTTATCATTGTTTCGTGTGTGCGCGAGTGGAACGCACGCTTTTCAGAGTTTCCAGTTTGTTTTATTGTAATAATCTATTTTTCTCCGTTTTTACACAGTTTTTCCATAGTCATGGATGATTGTAAGAAGAGGAAACACATAAATTGTGTAGAATATCTAGAAATCTATAGTGAAATTGTAAATATTATGTGCATTCGCTTATCGACTTTTCCTTGGATAAATAATAAATTATTGATTAATAAAGTAGTTCCAAATTTGAATATTTAAATTGATAGATACTTAAATAATTAAAAGTTTAAGAGTGATATTAAATAAATCACGGGGTCAAAATTTAACGGTAATTATCATTTATGAATATGATTATCCCCGTTTCATTGTACCATAACTTGGAGCTATATATTTTTTTAAATTTCAATCTGACGTCCATCAATGAACTAATTTGAATGCCGAATCAGGTAAATATATAGTATCACTCCCCCCCCTCCGATTTACCCCGAATCATTTCCATTTTTTTTTCAAATATTTGTATTCAATAATTCCCTTTCATTCTCAAATCTTTGCATTTTCCCTTCATTTCCACGATTTATCTCTGCATTTTCACGAATCGTTTGGGGCAATTACCTCAGCAGATGGATCATTAGTTTCATTATCCTTAGAGTCTCGACTTCCCGTAGTTTCAGGAATTTTCTCTTCGACTGTAGTAGGCTCAATAGGGATGATTGTATTGAAAGAAGATGGAATATCAGTTTTATCGAAATCGAACTCAAGCCAGGAATCGCCAGTCGTGGATTCTGGAGGACTCCTGGGACGCACCAGGTTCCAGAATGATGACATCACGTCGTCTGACTCTTTCCTGATGAGGTACCAGTGGCCTAACCGAAACCCCCAGTCTTTTTCAGGGTTGAAAGCAACATTTGCTGCAACGATAATTTCAATAACACATCAGTATGGAATTGCGAATGAGTCTTTTTGACGTCTGGAGTTGAAAATAAAATGACGAATGGAGAATATCATGAGATTGTTACACATATCGACGATCAGTTTATCCAGGAACTTTTTCTGTTGCTCATAACTGTCTCTTGTCGTGCCGATGATTCTCGTGAGGTCCGGAAGTGCAGAAGGATTATCGAATATTCGTGTTTTCATGTCTCTCAACCAATCTACGATGCTCTCGGCGAGTTGGGGCTGTTGGAGGCTTCCGAATTGTATTCCACTGCCTTAAAAAATATAATACGAGCGTTCAAAATGCAAAAGAACAAAATTTCATCGATTTTTTTTTAATTCTAAAATTATTGGAGATGAACTTTTGCGGTGGAAATTTTTTCTTCTTTTTTTTTTAACTTGAAATGTTTGAAAGTGACTACGGAAGATGACAATTTTATTGAATATTGTAAAGTAAAAATTAAAAAAATTCAATACGAATCTTCGTAATCTGAAAAAGTGAAATTTCATGGATTTTTATTTGTTTACTAGGGGGCGACGTCCCTGCTCGCTCCGCTCACCAACCACCGTATGACCCCCATGACCCTTATTCTCACCCTTTTGATCCTTAGTTTTTGACCATTCATTTCTGACCCTTAATTTTGGAATCTTAATTTCGAGTATCAAATTTTCATCACCAGAAGGATTTTGATAATATAGCGAGAGCACCATATGACCCCCATGACCCTTATTCTGATTCTTATTGTTGGAATATTCGAGCAACAGCTCTTTTATTATTTTACAAAAATTACTCCACAAAGATTCATGACATACTGGGAAAGCAGTTCTGGGAAACCGTTTGACCAATTCACCACTGATTTGTTTGCAACGGACCTATCGGGAAATACCTGATCATTTTGAAGCTCTTGTGGTATTATAACTGATTAATTTTTACAAAATTTAACATAAACGTGGTGAAATTTGTAAATAAAAATTTGAAATTTTGGCTCATTATAACTATGATTGAGCTTAACTTGGGCTCGCTGTTTCAGGAAACCTATTTCACCGGTCCAGTTGTTTCTGAGATATAACAACTTCTTTTTCAACGTTTTTGACGTGGATGCGTCTGGTTTAAATATGGGGGGTAATTTCGGGAAACGGTTCTTATGTGCAGCGCCATCTATAGCAATTTGAGAAAACTAGACATTTCGCGGTAACACGCACGAAAAAATTTAATAGAAAAAGTTAACAGAATTCGATTTTTCTATTAACTTATTCTTTTCATATATTTTCTATAGAATTTGCTCGACTCAAATTTTCAAAGTTTTTTTCATTCTATTTTTCTTTCCTTCTCATCAAGAAAATCAAACGAAAAAACTTGGAAAATTTGAGCCGAGGAAATTCTATAGAAAATATCTGAATAGAATAAGTTATATAGAAAAATTGAATTCTATTGACTTTTTCTACTGAATATTTTCTATTGAACATTTCAATAGAATCTGCCAACAAATAATAGAACAGTTCAATAGAAATTCAATAGAATTTTCTAACGAATTCGATAGGTTTTCTATTAAATTTTTTCGTCCGTGAATTCGAGAAGCTTCTTGAAATTTCGAAAAAATTCAAGGAGTTTTTAAAAATTTCGAGGAAATTCAGCGAGTTTCTAGAAAATTCGAAGGAATTCAAGGAGTTTCGAGAAAATTTGAGGGAATGCAAGGAGTTTCTAGGAAATTCGAGAAAGAAGGAAAGACCATGAATGGATCCACGTACAATAATTTTTGGAGACTCCAGGATTATGTAAAACTGAATGGTAATTGGAGAACATTTCAGATTATCAAAATGAAAAAAAAAACAAACAAGATCACATTCGAAAGATAATACAGGCGGGCCTTAAGATCGTTATTCACAAAGAAATGTCTTCATAATTTAGTTTCCTCTAGCATCATTCATTACTCCATTAATTCAACAAAAATAAAAATCCCTAACGAAATCGAGGACTCACTTCCGAATTGCAGAGATCCAAGGGGACCAGCCTCGGAAAATCCACCATAACTGCAGAGTACAAGTAAAATTCCTGTCGATAAAAACCGCATTTCGTTTGAATATTCCCATGTAACTAAATCGTATCCGAAGCCCTGATGATTCTTTTATGACATCGGAGCGGAAGTGCATGACGGATGTCATTAGGATCGAAATAAAACTCCCATCGAGATCAGAATCATTCGATCAAATTGCGGACATTGCCCACGTCATTGTTGAAAATTAGATGGGCAAAAGAGTAAACATTTTCATTTTATGGAAAAATTCTTTCAATCACTTCTTGATAGCCCAGTGATGAAACAAAATGAACCAATTGAAGATATTTATTGAACCCTAGATTGATCACCATATGAGGAAAACTCCGCCCCGTATATGAAAAAATCGTATAACCATTTTCTACACGGATTGCGTATAGAAATTCTATAGGATTTCTGTATATGGTATTCGGATATTTCTATACGAATTATTTCCATACATAAATTTTTACATAAATTTTTGTTTTCATACGAGAGATGTCTAAGCGCTCCAGAGAAAAACGTAGAGAATCAAACCTATAGAAATGGAATAGATTAGTATATTTCATCACTAGGCCGAAAAAAACTTTTCTGGCGAATATGAGGTTGCAGCCCGAGTCGAAGGCGAGGGCTGCAATCATATGAGCTAGAAAAGTTTTTTTTGGCCGTATGACGAACAGTATTTTTTGTTATGACGGCCGTAGGCAGAGATTCACGGACGCGGAGCGTCCGTGAAGCGCTGCCTCACGGCCGGAATGACAAAAAATAATTTGTATAAAAAATATCGGTATCAAAATATCCGAATATCATATACGACAATCCTATAGAAAATTTGACTTCTTCGATTGAAGTGTATAGAACATTATAGTTTTTAGAAAAACATAATTTCCGAAATTCTTACAGAAAAGTTAGCCTGGTCAAAAACATCGATATTTGGAAAAAAAGAATCGAAAATTGATTAATCAGCCGTCGAAAACACGGAATTAAAAACATCGATGTTGTCGATTAATCGACAAACATCGCCCATCCCTACATGAAGGAACTTATCGAATCGAAAGTATCGGAAGTCGTTCTCGGAACGGTTCGCATCTAATTTTTCCCAATAAAGTAGCAAGGGCAAATAAATTATTTAACGAATAATTTTAACAAAATTTCAAGTTCAGTAACAAAAATTGTTAATATCGCGAATTATCACGATAATTAACAATTCCTGCTGCTGCTGCTGTCATTGGAAATATCGAACCACAACAGCCTCTCGACAAATATTTTTCTCAGAGTTGAAGAAGTAAATCTCTTTTTTGTCATTCCGGCCGTGAGGCAGCGCTTCACGGACGCTCCGCGTCCGTGAA